TAAATTTAACTTGAAGTCAATTCGTTATAATAGACTTGCTGCATTAAAAATTGCTTGTTCATTTTATATGTTCGTTTTATTTGCCCCCCCTCCCCCCCCCTTTCGAGAGTTCTGGAAAGTGATGTTAACCGAAAAATTAACTTCGAACGGCCTAAATCATAAGTAAAAAATAATTATAATCTTATTTCAAATTGATTTATGTAAAAAAAAGTATTTGAAAAAATTGTCAATTTGGGTTATTTTTTCAGCAACTGGCCCATATAAAGTAAAATTATAATACACGCAGAACGCGAAATTTTGACCCGCATTACATAATTGTTTACTAATTTCCGGTCGGAATTAACTTTTTAATCTTTTCTTTACGAAAATAGAAATTTTTAAAAAATAAGTCCACATTATGGTAAAATTGACCCAAGAACAATTTTCACTTAATGGGAGGCTGTGATTTCATTAGTAAAATCCCGAATACGTAATTTCAGCTTAATTTTTTTGATCGTCGTTCTTAGTCAATCAAAATCGAGAATCTGCGTGTATCAAATTACATCACTGATCACAAAATTCATCACGTGTCCCACTAAATAAAAATACGTATGCGATACCGGGTATTTTATTTAGTTTAGCCGATTCTGTACAAAACCTGATTGCAATAATACTTTAAAATAAGATTAAAAAATCCGCAATAAATTATATGTAGTTTCATTTGTTGGAAGAAAATGTTCTTACCCACCCTTTTCTTTATTTATAATTTCAATTTCAAAGTAAAATAATTTGCATTGTACCGGAATTGGATTATTCGCACAAATTACGTAACATCTTAAAAATGTTCGATTTTTACGATCAATATGTTATTAGCTTCAAGAAAATTAATAATAAATTTAATAAATCGTTAATATTTAAATATTTGGATGTAATAAATTGATTTATGTAACAATTTAAGTGCAACAGATATAATATTTCCATTTGGCATAATATACTGTGGTGAAATCACTTCGTCCTATTTTTTTTTTTAATATTTTAAATCTGTTGAAAGAATCCACATTATTTGGTATTTATTTTTAATCATCTTCATCCATTTCAGCCGACTTTATGTAGTATTCAAGAGTTTTATATTGGTCCTTTTCAGCCTTAATTCCATTTTCATATCAATATCCAACATTATATGTTCTCAACAGCTGATTTTTGATAATAAATAATGCCTTTTGTTCATCCTTTTTCAATTTCAACGCCATTCTGATAGCAATATCCAACATTGTTTGTTCACAAGCGTCACCAATCTCTGCCGCCTTTTGATAATAAATGAATGCCTTGCGTTCATCTTTTTCAATTCCAATTCCATATTGATGATAAATTCCAATATAAAATATTTCAACAGCATCACCCATCTCTGCAGACTTTTGATAATAAATGAATGCCTTAAATTCATCTTTTTTAGCCCATTTACCATAACGATAGTAATTTCAAGAGCGAATTGAACTGTAAAATTTATTTAATCATCTAAGCAAAAGTTGACAATATTGTCTAGATTTTGCTTTATCTTTATATGAAATTGTCCTAATGTGTTAAGTGAAGCATTTTTTTATATTATAGAATTTTATCGAACTGGAAAGCTTACTTGGCCAAGTTACTTGTAAACAACTTGAAGAAGAACTTGATTACTTTTAAATTCCTTTTAATAAATCAACAGTGCTTTGTTCTTTACCTTTAGTAACTGTTAGAAATAAGTTTAATAACCTTGTTTTAGCCTTTAAAGAATTGATCATTTATTGTTGTAATTATTTTAGAAATAATATTGAATTAGAAATTAGACATGACGATATTCGTATAATTAATTTTATGCTAGATCATGAACATTATTATGAATTTACGTTCTCTGAGACTTATATTATTTTAGAAAATATGAGACAACACATTGGAGATCATTTAGTTAAAATATTTTCTGATTTAGGGATAAAATGGAAATTCAGACAAGATAATAATAATTATTTAGGTGATTTGAAAATCTTTATTATTATCTCTTTCTCATTTGAAAATGTTTGTAAAAATTTTAAATAAACGATAAAAAAAAAATAAAATAAATAAATTTATATCTTGCTTTATTAACAAAATAGAACAGATTAATATGTAAAGATTTGTTTGCGGTTAAAAAAATTTTAAATTATTTAGTATTAAATTTTTAACTTGAATTGACCTAAGATATTGACTTTTACTATGTTTAGAAATTATATAAAACTGAAAATTATAAAAATCCAAATAACAAACAATCTTATTGAAAATTGATACAGGTATAAAAAAGTATTTTACAAATTACATATTTTTACACAGTTTATCAAAGAAATTGATTTTATATTATTTATCATCATAACTGTGATTTATATGAAGTGAGCTGAATACAATAAACACTCGTCATATAATCTTCGTATATTACGAAAAGATTTTACAATGAAGTATTATGTAGCATGTGATTGAAAAATAAATTTCTATTCTCATAAATAGACAGAGTGAGTCTTTTTACACACTTTTAGTGTTAGGCATCTCCTTATATAGAATTTTCCAATCGGTTTGTTAATAGTTGTAGCAACGTTCAATTGATACGTTAAATCAAAAAAAGACTAGCTCTTATCTATTTTGTGTAGTTTACTAAGGGTGCTCTCAAGCGCCTCAATCAATAAATCGGTGTATAAATTTTAATTAATAAAAATTAGTTCAGCCGGTCAAGAGAGTTTATCACCGCAGTCAAAAAAAAAGATGGTTAGTGATCATCTTTTTTCTTTATAGAGCTGTGCTGATTGGCAAAATTTATTATAGAGTGAGATTATTCAAGCGCTTTACGATCAAACCATAATTTTTTTTTTATGATCGAACTATTATTTTTTTTTTATATGATCAAATCTCTTTTCGAATCATTATTTTTTTTTTATAATCAAATCTTTTTTTTTGTTTTTTTTACGATTGAATCATTATACTTTGCACTAAATACACTTCTAACAATATGGATCTTTGCCGTCAACAACAAATTACTTTTTTACTCTTCGTGCTAAAAAACTTTTATGACAAATAAAAAAAATATCAAGAAACCCCCAAAAAAAAACAACTGACAATTGTTATCTTTGAATGATGTCCATCGATTATTTGGTTTATTTCTGAAATAGTATTAAGTTGGATGAACTTGATATTTCATCTACAACTTGTAAATTTTCTTGACTCTATTAATAATAGAAGTTTGATTATTGTCACTAATGGATGACTCTAAAAGAGATATCTAAATAAATTTTTTATTAATTCTTTATAAAAAATTACAAATTTAAATAAAATTCAATATATACTTCTTCATATTTGCTATTAGTTCTAT